TTACTGTTTGTCAGCGGTTCCCAACCTGTGGTATGCGCAGGTAGGGTTTAGGCATTACGCTAGGGTCACCAAAAATATTATGTTTATAAAGGAGGAAACATTTTTTTTTTAAAGTTGTTTTTTCTTTAAATACCAGTTCATTTAAGAGGAGCTCTATTTCAAGATGGTTGGGGGGAAGGGGGGTATTTACTAATAACTGAACTCTAATCAAGGGGTATGGGAGAACAAAAAGATTGGGAGCCACCGCTCAATTTCGTTAGCACACTGAATTAGACAAGCTCTTATTAGGAGCTGAGCTTGGGTGCAGAGGCGTAGCGTGGTGGGGGCTGGCAGATGTCCCCGGGCGCCAGCTAGTTAGGGGCGCCAAAATGTGCTTTGATATTTTATTGATGAAAATAATGGGTTTGAGAGTTGAAAAAAAGAAAAAGGGGCGCTAAAAATGGATCTTGTCCCCGGGCGCGAATCTTGTCCCCGGGCGCCAAACACCCTCGCTACGCCACTGCTTGGGTGACGTCACTTTAGTGCTGAGGTTACCATTGTTATCCTCAGATGAAGCCCAATAGGAGCCAAAATGATCAATAAATTGATCGTGGGCCCTTAAGATATAGAAGAAGGAGAAGTCCAATGACAAATTGAAACCATCTCAGCAAGTGCACACAAAAAAAATAAATGTAACATAACATTTTAATTATTATAGTTATTATGGGTGAGGTCATTTCCTTGCCTAGGGTCGTAGTAGTACAATCTATTTATAGCATTACATGAAGCCCAATAAAAAATTTAAACCATCTTATTAAGTAGTAAGTGTAAAAAAAAAAATTTAAATTTGACATAACATTTTAAAAGTGTATAAATTTTTTTAACTGTTGGGATACATAAGCATTTGTTATGGTCTGTAGAGCTGATTCATAACAGTTGTGCGACACATGTAAGTTAACCAACCTGGATTGCCTGAAAACTTTGATTACTAATATGAAGTGGGATTAAATGTATATGAAATTGAATAAAGCACAAAAAATGGGTCAAACAAAATTTACTAAAATGAAAAAAAAGAACTCAATCTCGAAAATTCACACGCAATCAATGTTTTTAAGAATGCCCCCCCCCCACCCTCTTTCATCTATTAGTGTTAATAATATAAATTCTTTAGCCACTCATCCCTAATGGTAATGGCTCAGTCTATTTCTATTCTCATTTAAGTCATCCTTAATATTCTTCTTCATGGCAACGGAATTTTAAAAATATAATCTTATGAATCCAGTGAGTTTTCTAAAGTAAGGATAATTTCTTACAAGTATTTACCACTCTGATTGCAATGATGGTGGGGGGTTGTGGGGGGGGGGGGTGTTATAACATAAATGTTGAGGAGACCTCTTCCAGTCCTTTAAATATTTCATAAACATTATTTTTATTATATTTTTTCTTAAGATAACTGGAAGTGACAAGTATATTAAAAATTAAGAACATTAAAAAATTGTGTTTAGTTTTTTTTTGAAAATTTCTAATGATTTTCATAACTGAGCTCATAGATTTTCAATAGAAATCTGACAGAGGAAATATTAAATGAAATTAGAAATAACTTAAAATGAAATTTATTTTGTATTGCAAAAAAGAAATCAAATGTAACAAACAAAATAAAGGAATGGTGAGATATTTAATAAATATTTTCTCTATTATAAAGCAAACATTTCAACAATCTTACATCACTGAGACTCACCAGAATAATCAGTTTATGATCAATGAATTTTCAATGATACATGACCCTGGGCAAGTTGCAAAAATAAAGGACTTGGTTACATCAACTACACAAGGCCTAGGTCACAATTTTGACCCCATTCAACTAATTGCTTGACAAGCTATGCATGGTATTTTTCCTTCATTAAGATTAATTAGGTGGTGCTTGTCCAGCATAATTGAAGACTAGTGGACTGGTTTGGGGTGGTTTTGCATTGTTAATTTAAAAAAAAAAAAAATACTGCTAATCACTTCATAAAGTGTTCATAAATTCGAACAAAAAAACTTTTGGTTGGAGGTTTGTATAAAATGAAAACAGGAAAATCTTTCAAATTAATTTTTTATGTGTCATTACTATTTAAGATGCTTTGGAAAATTTGAAAATCACCAGCCGCCCATAACTGACGTTCATGAAAGAAAAAAAATATATTCCAGCAGTGTCTTCTATACTAGATTAAACTCTCAACAATACAAGTAAAGAAAACATTACTTGGTTAGTTAACGTAATTGTTGCTGTAAATTAACAAGGTTACAATTGATAATCAAATATTATATATCATTGTCAACGAAGGCCTATTAATTATTGTTAGGCTTATTAAAATTTGAGCAATACAATCATCATGACATTCCCAATCCAATGATCCCTGACATTCACAATATAACCATCCATGACATTCACAATACAATCATACACCACATTCACAATACAATCATACACCACATTCTCAATCCAATCATCAATGACATTCACAATACAATCATACACCACATGCATACAACAATCTTCCACCACATTCACCTGATTCAGTTGATGATGTGCATAATAATCATAGATCGGATCAAGTAATTATTGTGAACTAAATTTAAAGTGGATTTTGTGTGAGCCATTGATTGTATAGGCCAAGCTAGAATACTTAGGTTACCTGGGGGAACGATTTGACCAGATGACTGACATTTAGTTAGTGATAATCATTTGTTGGAAACATAATAACATCAGACCAATTAAGCCAAGTGATGAAAGAATTAAAATATTTGATTATTTGTTCAGCATAACAATTTGAAGCGTACTCAAACAATGCCAAGTTCACTCACCAGGTTGTTGAACAAATTTCAACCAGTTTGCTATTATTTAATAGACAAAGTAGATATATTTGGTGTAAAGAAGAAAAATTAATTATATGATGACCGAAATATATTGTTTTGTAATTTTATTGTCCGTACCCCCTGAACAATAATTTTAAGGTGCTATATCACATGTATAGAGTTGTAAGTGTACCAGTTAAACTGAATCCATTACTTATATGAGTCAAACATGGGAATGCAATGGATTTGAATCTGTAACATTGGGGAGAAAGTGAACATGTCATCTTTAATAATGAACATAAAAATCATTAATTAATAGAAACAGAAAAAAAGCCATAGTCAAACTAAATCTTAGAAAAAATCCATAGTTAAACTAAAATTCTCCTATTTTTATAGCACAGATAGTTCCTTCAAATGATCATTATATATCAAAGCAATAGTGAGATTGTTGTTGGAATTAAAACAAATTACTTAAGCAGATCTCTTCAAAAAGGAAAATAGATATGTATATATTTATAAATATTTATTAAATAAATTGTAGTCAAGCAGTAAAAAGCAAACTAAAATTGAAATAAAATATATACTATGACGTAAACAGCTGTTGTTGTTTTTTTTTTACTTTATGATGAGTACAGATATTGCAAATTTTATCAATGATAATGATTCATAGTCAATAACTTTAAATAATATTCTCCATTTTAGAATGAACAGACATTTTAAAAATAAAAATAAACTGAAGTGGTATATGAGTAAGCTTTAAAAAAAATCAGGAGTGTACAACTTTACTTTAAAAATGGCAACAACATAATTATAGTCATTATAATTAATGAAATAACATGACTGAAAAAATGTATGAAAGCAAGAATGAGAACAATATTTCACTAGATTTATTGGTCAACTCTGAAATGTTCATCAACTGCAAATGAGGGGGGGGGGGGGGGGGTGTTTGTTTTGCACAATAATGAATGTGCATCGATGTCATAATTAAACACCTCCATTTAATTTTAATGTACTTTAACAGGGATAATCTGCTAGACAAAAAGTGTTAAAATTAAAAAGAGTTATTTTTAGTACTGGTATCTAAATATTAAAACAACACTTGAACTGTGCCGTGATCCAATCTAATGCAAGAAAATAATCTTAATATTCTCTAAGTCCTGTGGCCGGCAAACTCTTTAGCTAAAAGAGCCAAAAATGAGCAACAGGACAAATAAAAAATTTTTGAGAGCTTAATTTCTTTTCAAGAACTCGTTAAGAACCATGCTTTTCTGAGTCAAAACCGGTTTGTTGCCCACTAGCAGAGCCGCACTCAGGTTGCTAAAGGGCCCCATGAGCCGCGCTTTGCTGAACACTGTCTTAGTCAACAATTTCTCCCAGTAGCACCTCCATCATCTTTAAAGCATGAAAATTAAGTAAAATTAGTAATTTAAGCATTATAAAAAATGTATGACCGTCACTGAGCTATCTTGATTATATTTCCAACGTACTACTTATTTTCTAATGAAGTGTTTTCAGACGCTTTTGGACAAGCGAGCAGATTTTAGATTCAATTTGTATGGGGGAGCCCTTTAGGCCTAACCCGTGTAGTATACATGTATAATGTTTAGGAGTTTCCTGGAGCAGCAGTGGAGCCCCTGAGAAGTGCTAAATGAGCCTTTTGGGTTAAATATTACAACAGAAATTATATGACAAAGTCAAATATATATAAGAAAAATTATACATATTTTAAAATGGACAATGACAAAAATTGTAATAGTTTTTAATATAAATTAAATTATTGTGAAATCAAATTGTTATGTTGTCAAAACTTATTCCCCCATTCAAAAAACATGTTGAAGCCATTTCAATGCACATAATCATCAGCTATGCATTTCATTTATAAACAATAAAAACGTTTTAGAATTTAAAAAATTTTAACATTTTTTTACACCCCAGGCAGGGTCATACTCCTGTAGCAGATGACGTTTTACAACATTTAATTTTATTATGTACAAATATCACTGAAAATTCAATGATGATTTTATTTTTAAAACTAAAAAACTAAAAAAACCTTTGAATAATACTGAGGGCAAGTCTTTTTAAGAATGTATCAAATATTAAAACAAAGTATGATATGTTCTATTTTACTAAAATCTTTATAGAGTTTTAATGAGCAAATTCTAATATTTCGATGAAATGGAATGTTAATGATTATCATTATTTGAGTAATAAGTCTGTTTAGCGGGAACAGTCACAAAGAATTTATCCCCATTTTTATCTATCACTATTCCTGTAAGCTCCCCTCCATATACACACCCAGTGTCCAGTCCTGTAGCAAAAGGCAAATCTTGCAGTCCTCTCCGGGCATCATGGCCATAATAAACATGCTGAGGACCTTTCCACAGTGTGCCCCATGCTACACCAATCTCCGGCTTACTGTGAGCAACAGGGACAGGACCCAACACAGTTTCATTGTAAACAAGATTCCTCATATGACAGATATTTATTAAACATTGATGTTCAAGTGGAACTCCTGGAACTAGACCTGCATGGACTACTATTGAGTTTATCCTGGGAATGGTTAAAGAGTAGGGCAAATTTAGAAGGTACTTGAAATCATCAGTAGAAAATTTGCTCAAATATTGATACTTTTGAGAGAGAATGTAGTCCTTGTTTTGATTCATATTTCGATATTCTCTGAGCAGAGATTCCTCATGGTTTCCTTTGACTGCAGTTGCTGCACCGTTCTCTGTAAGATCACGAATTAGAGTCAAAACCTCCAGATTTTTGGGGCCTTTATTCAACATGTCACCCACAAAAACAATAAACACATCTGAATTATTGATCCTTTGTTTTGCCTGTAGAATGAGATCTTGAAGCTCATCAAAACAACCATGAATATCACCAATAATTAGAACAGGTCGATCACCAATCTGCTCATCTGAAATAATGACATGACACTTGTGAGGTGGAGGAAGCCCGTACTTGGTCCTGGTAGGATATGGTTTCACCTGGTTGTATACTTCTCGCAAAAAAGAGAACGTGTTAAACAATACAGCAGCCATTTTTACCTAGAAAAAAGTTATAGATTGATCATTGAAAAGATTGAAGTATAAACAAACTCTTGTCTCTTGGCAGTCAGTTCAGTCATGGCAAATGTTAAGACGACAATTAGGCCTATAAAATGAATGGAATTAAAGTTAAAATGAGTAATAAGGGAGCATTCTTAAATAAATCAGCAGGCTTATCATGATGGCCAGACCTGCAAATATACGGCCTGCGGACCGCATGCGGCCCACCAGCACCCACTTTGCGGCCCGCTAACAAAATATTCTTCATTCTTATTATTTCTTACAAGCTTTCCCCACTGTCCTATTTTCTTTTGGCCTGCTCAAGTTTTTCATAAAGTATTACGGGCCGCCTTACATTTTGAGTTGTGCAGGCCTGATGTAGGCTAACCAATCAGCAGGCTGAGTAGACCTATTTTTAATGGCGTAGCCTTGCTTATATTACTCTTAGACCTTCAAGTATGCATGCTGTATACTATAATAACTTACTATAAAAAGACATAATTTAATTATTCTAATAAAAATTATAAGGCCTAATTACAAGGCCTTATTGCTCTAGATTTTATTTAGGTCTAGTATTACAATTATGATTTACAGAATGATGAATGAACTAATTATTTTAGTGCATTAAAAAAAAAAAACAATTGTAGGCCAACTGATAATAGAGATAAGATCAATTTTAGGCTCTTGTAACTATTTTAAGCTTAGTTAATAAAGGTAGTAAGGGGCCATCCATAAATTACTTCACGCGTCTAGGGGTGAGGGGGGCAGATTTTTGTGAAGATGTGTGACGAGGGGGATGATCTGGATTGGGGGGGGGGGGGGGGGGGGGAGTGTTTT